AAAATGATAGTTGAAGCAACGCCTGATAAAGAATTTAACCAACTTCAATTTCTGTTTTTTTTTTTTCGTTAAAGCTTCATCCCTATTTGTGTTTTGAGATTATGATCAGCTGCAGTCCCACGGGAGCCCATGAAGAGGTGGTTGCTTCTTTTTTCCGACAGCAATATAGTCAGACAACCAACCCCCCTGCCATTTAACTATTTTTCTTTTCGACGATATACTGGTGTTGGTAAACTTACCAATGAGTCAAGCATGCCATCAGCTAGTTTCTAAGCAATCGCAGAAAGAAGAAATTTTTGACAACCTGTCCAACGTGTGGTTGCTGCTGATATTTGCCTACCACCGAACTATTTTCGAGTACCCCTTTTCCCACAGAGAGTAAATGCAGAAGGAATTTTGACTTCCCAAATGTCCAGACGAAGGAATATTTAAATCTGAGTCAAAACAAAACGAAACTAACACCCTGGATGAGAAGATCGAGTGCATATTCACAAACAAATGTTGTTTTGCCGAAACCCGTTCCCCCCGTGATTACAGTCATTTCGCCTGGTCGAAAACCACGCAAATATCGATTCAATACATCAAATCGTTTCCACTAAAACATCATCAAAGCAATACGCAATAAAGAAATACAAATGAGAAATTCTGTTGCCTGTCCGGCTATAATTCATAAACTGGATCTCCAGCTATGAGGCTGGTAAATTCTAGTTGCTTTGACTAATGCTGCATCGCTTGATATCAAGAAATAGAATTTTTTTGGTTAAACACTGGCAAACACAGAAATTCGGCCGATGAAAAGAATCAAAAGATGAGCGAATGCTAATAATATGTCAAACCTCATCGGAATAATGTCTCCATGAAGATATATATTATGCGTTTTTACCGCACAGCGCTACAGCGTTGCAACAAGTAGCAAAAACGCACATTATGACGTCCCTGTCTGTGTGCATGTGTGCATTTTTGTTTGCGTGTGTGTATGTTTGTTTGTGTGTTTATGTGTGTGTTCGACTGTGTAGGTATTTTATACTCAGCAATCAAACTTTAATGTTGAAATTTTGTCAGTGTGCCCTTTTGGCCAACTGCAACCCTAAAAACTTGATATCAACCACTACGTACTCTACGTCTCATGTACGGACACGTGAAAATTTTGACAAGAGAATTTCTTTGCGCGCCACCACAGTGGCCTTTTGTTTCTCACTGTTACTTCCCACTTGTTACATCATTCTTGAGAAGTGGAACTGTGGCTCAAAAAGACAAAACTTGTTCCTCCGCCTTCACTCTCCTTTAGAGTCAGGGGCATTCAGAAATAGTCCGAACGACATCAAAAGCAACCATCTGCTGGCAAGTCCATTGCTGTTCAGTGAAGCAAAAGCGAAATCTCTCATTTTAGAAGGCCCAAAGTTAAAAAAGCCCTACTTGTGCGATGCCGAGCATTTTCGCTTGATCTTTGACAAGTTCAGATTTCAGTTCGCTTCGCACATCAATCAGTGAGCGAAACCCTTTGCTACGCATACGAATCGAATCCTCCCGTATTGCTTTCGTTATTTCACGCCTTCGATCCGAACGTAACAACTCTATTGGGCGCTCATGGTTGCTGAACGTGGTAAAAGTGCTTGTTTAACGAACTCCAATATTTCTGGTTGAAAAGGGGACAATCTTGAAAAAAGGTTACACGTATTTCATCGGTATCGCCAGAATAAATGGAAATGAAAGTGCGATGCTACACTTCACAATTTCTTTCAGAAGCTAGGAACTAAAGGCCAGAATTATCAGTAGTCTTCCAAGTGTTGCAGTCTTGACTTTCATAAGACAAAGAATCTTAACTAAGTTGGAGGTCCAATCATACACAAATAGAAGCTGGCTGATGGTTAAAGTCAAAGGTAAATTTTCCCTCTTTAAAAGTTGGTAACAAGTGCCAGTAGCAAGTACCCACCATAAGCACTGCCAGGAGTTGCGTCATCTCAGGGTATTTTGCTAAGAAGCAAACCGAAGTCGGTAACAGCGGGAATGTATCTTACACATACACCGGTACCAATTTACCATCGAAACCAATGAATGAAACGTAGGTGGATTACTTGTGCTACTGCCAGCGTCAAATTTACCATATTCAGGAAAAAGCCATTCCCATTTGCCATTACGTCGTGGTCTTACGCTTGGTCAATGTATATGTCAAAATAAAGTACTAACCGAATTATTCAAGTAAATTTTTCTCATCCATAAGATGGGCAAAGTTGTGCAGCGCCTATTTCTCTAAAAAGGCAGCATAATTGATTTGGGAATATGTTGGAAGCATACTCAACAATAAAGCAGCGGCTTGCGTTCAACATCGATGCATAATCTTTTGCATTCCTCTCCTGCATGTACGGAAACCAAAGATAAACCATATCAAAATCTTCCAAGTATGGAAGAACGCTGAAAAACGGAGATACAGTAATCTCATTTCGTGAAAATCAAAGAGTATAGACTAATGCGGCATAAAGTGTCAGTGCGAAGATACGTATCTTCCATCATTTCTCGCAAAACTGTTTTTGCGAAACGAACAGTTAGAAGGAAGAACTTGTTGCTAAACAAATGCGCAAAACTGTTTTTGCGCATGCGCAACAGTTCTCGCAAAACTGTTATTGCGAAACGAACAGATATGCGCATCAGACATAAAAATGTGTTCTTTGCCCTATTTTTTACGATAAAAAAAGCCGAACAAAAGGTGAACACTAAAGTTACTTTGGTTACGGGATAACGACAAATTTCATGTGTTCGCAAGTAAGATAAAAAAGTGAGAGCTATTTCCAAGTGCACCAACCCAAGTGCAGTACTGTGCCACGTCCAAAAATTTTAGCGCTCCATTAACCCTGGCTGCGGAGCTACGTTAAATTTCACATGTTTGTATGTGAGACAGAAAGGAAAGTAAAGATTGTTTTCAAGTCCACGTGCCTAAACACGCTCGTTGGCGACGCTCAGAAAATTTCGGTCCTCAACTACTCCGGTACCCACACGCAATACACCCACACACAACACACCCACATACAACACAC